ACTTATCCATGGGACAGTCGTTATATATTGCGGAGAGACCTTTATTTTTCCAATTTTGTTTTTAAACATATAGACTCTCCACAGTGTAATTGAGATAATTTCAGATCTCTGTCGTTTATATTTGGTTTCCGAGGGTCATTCTCGTTTTCGATACTATGTAGTGATTATTGTAGTGGTAATAAATGATTTAGCACCTACTGCGGCTAGATAGTGAGTTTAGCGCAATGGTTAAACGTGCTCTATATATCACAGGGTCGATGGTTCAATCCCCCGTCCATCCGCTATTGACAGTTCGTATTAAAATTGGGTACATCAACCAGCACCATCTACCAGAATTCTGTTGTGATATTCACGTTTTAGTCAAAAAGCCTGGTCCATTGAGAAATTCCAGTGTGCGACGTGAACAAACTTTATCGGTTCTTTTAGAGTTTACTAGTTCCCGCAGTTACTAGATGATCAACTGAACCACAAGTGATATATGTGATTATGATAGAATAAAACAAAGGGTGCTAAAATTATGGTGAATATTGAAGTTGCTGTCTTGATTCAATTACGTGAGGAATTTCCCAATGTGATGTAACTTGGACTGGTTACTCGCGAGGCCACCGCATCACATCGCAATGGTGTGAATGGGGCGAAAGTTAAACGCGAGCCAAAATTGCCCATGTAATTGCCCCGAAATGGCGGAAGGGAATCATGGAATGGCCCTCCGTCAGTGATTTTTCGGGTTGTCTTATACTTTCCGCATATGTGCAAAGAAATTCATATATGTGCATATGTCTTAGGAAATGATTGGACGTATGGAGATTTTGTGCTGTACGTTGATTCAAGGTCGTCTTTCAGTCGCCAGGAACAGTAAAATAGTACAATGACTGATAGTGACACAATGATAGTGAAAGAGCGATTCTTTTCGTCTCCGCCAAGTGATCGAAGCCAAATAGGCAACTCTATAGCACTACAAAGATAAATGAAGACGTTACAGATTAAGATGCTTGATTATTAACACCTAGTGTTGGACATGAATTGATTTCCACTCACAGTGTGAAAATCATGACCTCTTTTAGCCTTAAGTCAACATAGTTCACCTCAGCATGAACTTTATTATCTACAATAAAGGATAAACGATAAAGCTTTCGGCGTTGATCAATCCCTGAGGGATGCGCCATGCATTCGACTTCATTAAGCATCGTTTGGAAGTGACTGAATGCATATCTGGCCTTTACAATGAATCGCGATGGCCTACCAGTGCTGCTGTTCATCCAGAGAAGCCTGGCACCAATTTGCCGACCCCGGAGGGATGGAAGGCATGGTGGGCCATGGGACAGGGATCGATTCCACGTGTGTATTGCAGGGCGCTTCCAACCACTGCGCTACACGCACCTTTTTAATTACAATAATTACAATGTACTTTAACCACATTAATTAAAAGAAAGGGTATTAAAGTCTACAGATCTTTTGCTAAGCATAAACGCTGCCATTTTTACCAAAATGAAATTATGGTTTTCTCTCGCTCACCATACCTAGTCCGTTCACTTGCTTCCGTTAAGAGTTACGTTTCGATATGCGTTGTTATTTATGGCTTCCTGGATTTCACTTGTGATTCTAAAGGCTTTAAGAATTAAAATTTCGATATTAATCCCTATGGAAATTTTAATCTTAAGCAGCTTTAAAAGCAAAGTCTCATCTACAAGCGATTACGCTTTCAACTTCTCGAGTATCACAGCTATTAGAAAATTATCAGTGATTTTTGAAAAGCCAGCCTCGGAACCCTGAGTGTTCACAACATTAAAGTGGTCTCTGGAACTTCAGTGTTTTCGGAACGATATTCTGTCGTCCTGTGATCGACAGTGTTTAAAATAGAACGAAAAAATGGAAGCATTCTGAAATATCTTTCATTCTGGTGAACACTGAACTTCTCACAAACTTCAATCGTATGGTTAACAGAAACGTCATTATGACAGAGTAGCTTTTTAATTTGTTTTGTACAAAATATGGTGTGTGATTATCACGATAAGAGCTCAAAGTGAAGGAATGTGGAGCACCAGACGTTTACTGAAAAACCACAGACGTTCTCGTTGCACTACCTGCCATTGAATTACTGGTAATCCGCCTAGTGTAAATATAAAAAAAGTTTTCTACGTCATTACTTGTGTTAATTCTCGTTGACGCACAGAATTGATCTCTACTACTTAAGGAAGACACATTTAGCTAGAGAACGGTCTATCGGTGAAATTGATGATGCACATAAATGTACGAATAATGTGGGGGTGTTAGAAATTTTTCGCATATTTGAAGAAAAATTGGCTGTGACGTAACCAAGCCTTTCCAGATAAGTTCCACTAGTACATGTGTTCGAGAAGAATGAAAATGAAAAGTGGCAAATTTGAAAGTACGGCTGCTTTGTGGATTACTCGCTAGCACTTTGTTTCTGTTGCATTCCTCAGTGCCATGTCCAATTTCGCACCTTCCGTCATCGATAGTTCGAGCGGAAAAATACACCAAGCGAACTTCCTGTATTCGTGAAAAACAAGCCATAAACATCAATTAAAATCATCAGTTGTCTTCAATGTTTTACCGGTTTTCATCTGAAATTGGTTTTCCTACAGAAACTTTTCTTCTTGAACGAGTCTACGTTTTTAGGGGCGGATAGCGCAGTGGTAGTGATGCCGATCATCACCAGCACAGTTGGCACGATCCTGCTCCGGGCTCATCAACCCTCTCGTCTCTTCGAAGTCGCGAAATTGGTACCGGATCTGTCCGGGAAAAAATCGCTCTCTGCAACCCAGTGGGGAGCGCTTAGCCCGGCTATTTCAGGACTCCGGGGGAATCGACACAACCATCATTCTACGACATTCATGATGAAGAAAAGTCCTTAAGCAAGACTCAAAAGCACACGTAAAAAGCTGGAAGACCTTCGTGGATGACTGATGCGAGAAAACGAATCGAATGTGAGAAGTACTGGGAACCGCACAGTAGATGTAAAAGAAGGTTCGTGTAAAGAAAGGTAGCTTTTATAAACAGTTACTCGATACTAGAGTGACCCATACATGGGAAGAATCGTGCCATCAACATAATTTCTATTCGATAGGTTAGTAGGGCATGTTCTCCCAAAAATGTTGACCGAACCGCGCTAGGTTGCTCCCAGAAGACCATCAATGGAGGCGCCGGCCTTTGTCGATTGGAGGATGTTTCCCATCACATGGCTAAGCTTCATCCAAGCTGATGACGATGTCCAGAATTTCTTTATCTTTGGCAAAACTCAGTTCAAAAGTCGAGCTCCACAGTTTATATGACCGTCGTCCTTATGTCATCTTTCCAAAACCCTAAGCCTAAGATATTGCTACACTACATGCCAGCTAATACAGTGGCGATTTCTGCAGGATGCATTGCCATCATAAAAACGAACCAGAAGGTTATGCCGATTGGCAATATATCAGTGTCCATCCTACCTGAAAGAGCGTCGCCGAATGAGCACACTTCATTCGAGCAGCACCCTAGTTCTTCAGATTAGACTCGAAGCGACAACCGCATCCCCACATCGCGACACGACAGGCCGTGGATAATCCACACGGATCAAGGCGGCTCTGAGGGCGCACGCACCGGGATGCCAGATGAGTGAATTTTTTCACCAACCTCATGTCAGCTCAGTCAATAATTGTGGAAAATATTGATTATTTATGCAAATGTTAAGAGAAATGTCCTAGAAATATGCATTCAGTATTAGCATACGACGTCCTGCACTAAAGGCAATCGTGACAACCCCTAATGTTGCTTAGTGAGCACATGGGACCACATCTTATTCCATGCCCTTAGGGAGATGCTGATTTTTCGAAAATAGCAGGCAACCTACCATAAAATACAAGACTCTGGTGGTTGAAAGAATGGCCGCACCGAACTGCAGCGGCGGCTTTGTTCCATCGTTGTGTGTGAATAGCATTTATAATGCAATTTGCTATTAATTAACATGGTACATCACGCATTTACACTATTATCAGAATTTCGAAAGGTTCCTAGCTCATACTTTGTTTATTTCGGCATTTTTCATAGCAGCATATTCCAAGCGATACCGCGTACTCTATCAAGTTTAAATATACTTAGCATATTTAGGTACCTCCCAACGGTTCACCGCCTCATCGTGGCTGCGAGGTGTTCCTGTGTCGGACTGTGATGTACAGCGGGGGAATTCATCCCATGGGCAAGGTCTCCCATGCTGAGGAGTCTGGTGTTTCCACCAGGAAGTCCAGCTAAGAATAAACGAATACCAGGATCCACGAGTATGTATAATATGTGTTATTTATCACAAGTTGCTATGGTTCATCATATAAACGGATTACTGTCATCATTCCGAAGTGTTTTCAGCTTGTGTGAGCTTGTTTTTACATCCCTGTAGCCGCCAATTCCAAACAACAATGACCCATTATGCTTATTGGAACTGAAATGGCAATCAATTACCGGTCTCTGAATTTGTCCCAAATAAGTTTTCTTTAATTAGCTAAGTGAAGAGATCAGCTTTTCAAGAAACATACCTTAGGTAACATCTGTGCTCGACAAATTTCCGTTTGAATACGAAAAACGTGATGAAAAGCTCTGTGCACGAAAATAAACTTCTGAAAACGTAATGCATAAGATACTGTGGATTTGGACCACTTCGTCCGACCACGTGTGGTAGCATTCAACGCGGCCAGGCGTTGCTCCTATGGAAAAAAATGACTTCAGGAGCGCTACGTAGCATTAAATTGACGACTATTTTCGAATGCAGTCAGACGTTATGTACACCATTGCAGCAGCTTAATCTTCCACTATTGAAATTCTCGCTCTGACCACACTAAAGTAGTGTGATATCAGTTGAAAGCAGGAATGGAAATCATGACACCGTGATTAACGTTTGTGAGAGGAATCTGGTTCCTATCACTGATTGTTTTCATTGAAGCTGTATCAAGATAAAAATGAAGTAAATCACAAATGAAGTGCGGTTCATTTTTCGAGTAACTTGTTCAGCTATGGGCGATTTCAAATTGCAGCTCGACCCTTCGGATAAAATCATCTTCAGCGGTAAAAAACTTGGCGAAGAAGCAGCAACAGCGTCTATCAAGATCACTAATACGCTGAAAGAGAGAATAGCATATAAGGTAAATATTATCTGTTTACTCGTTAAGTGGATATTAGACAGTTTATATTAAAAGATTTTGAGCTTTTTTCCTCACAGGTTAAATGCACATCAAACGAAATGTTTCGTATTCGTCCACCGGTTGGAGCTCTTAAGCCTGACGATAATGTTACAGTTTCTGTGGGTCTAATCTCTCATTCGTTGTACAGTCCGCAAATCATTTAGCCTCTTTTACAGGATTAGAAAGACATTATTCGTAAGCGCATAAAGCAATCCCTAAATACATTAGCTCGATTTGAAAATTCAAATTTATTTTATCGCCACTGTAACAGCAATAGGCAGTTGAACATCGGCAAATGAAATATCCCACGTATAAATCCCTACTTGGAAATGAATGTGTTATTTTGTAAGATTTCCCATGTGAAAAACTTTTAGAAAGACTCTCTTATTTTAAGAGTGTTATATGCGTTTTGTTTGACCGTAGATTTAAGAAATTCGCTACTACGCATGGTTTTCACGCGTGTGCTATGCATTGAAACCAGTGCACACGACAAATTGCCACTCACTCTCCCCATTATTCGATAGAAAAGTCATGGTTTATTGAACTAATGCATTTGTCCCATAATCATCTCTGGTATTCTCGCCAGCGGTGATAACGGTGATATCATCGAAACTGCCTTAACCAGCAACAATCTTGTGAGATAAACAAGGTCGTCTGGAAATTGTTTTTGTAATAAATTCGAAGGAAGTAAAAACAACGTGCTTTGCTTTTAGGAACTCTTTGATGAGATGATAAGAGTCAGCAAACATTCTTAATAAGTTACGTTCCGACGATTTCGCTCTCTTCAAAGACGTTCTTCTTCAGCTGAGAGAGAGAACACCAGTATAGCGCTCATAAAAAATGATAATCATATCGTTGACGTTATCTACTAAAAACAAGTTTTTGTTAAGTGCAAAGTTTGCAAAATAGACAAGGAGAGCTTTTCTCCTACAACGCTCTACTTAATGTATGTGGTGGAGAAATTACCAAACGAATACGAAAGGTACGACAAAGAACACAATGGCAAAAGAAATAGACGGAAAGAAGATGCATTGGAATTAACGCACAATGTCCGATTATTGATGTTACTTGTGCAATGCGATCAGTACGTATTGTCGTCAATGTGCAGAAAATCTAAAGAAAAGAAAAGAAAACGGGATAATGAAAATAGTACCATACCGTGTCGCATAAAATGAAATAATCGGTCATCTATTCTCCGCACTCGCACTATGACACCAGCCCAATTGAAATTAGCGTGTGATCAGTCGAAACGCGTGAAATAAAGTCGGTCACGATCGGAACGTGAGTGAATGACAATCCTGAATAAGGTTTACTAAACTTCTCAATGAAATATGAATATGAATGAAGGAAAAATCTGAGTGCGCTACAAATGGGCAGGTTGCAATATCTACGGACTTCAACAAATATGCATTCGCGACAATACGCATTGGTTGTAATATATATGCGAGCGAAAATAGTTCTAAACCCGTATCACAATAGAGAAAAATCCTGTCACTTGTGCAGAAGTAATTACCGAAAAACACGGATATTGATTATTTGGAGAAGTTTTAATGAAGTGGAATGCTTTCAGTGCAGAGGTTAGAGGTGCAGTGTTAGACACATACGTAATTAGAACGTTCTTGGGTTATTAAGCTAACACGGCGTTAGTAAAAAAAAAGATTATTTGGTTAAAGACAAACACAGGAGAAAAAACACATGTGATCGTTAGTTGGATTCTACACCAAATCCTCTCTCTACGGCGGTCGGGAGGATACAAACACTGACATGATGGATTAGTTGTCCACGCATTGCATAGTTGACATATGCATTCAAGAGCCTATTCGATTCTATGAATGGAGTCGAATGCATAGGGTATCTCATAGAAACTGATCAACGTGAAACACTTTATTCCTCATTAAGAATATAGGAAGTTACACTATAAGTGGTTGGATCACGTTAGCGCTGATTAAATTAAAGACTTTAGCTGACATTCAACGCTGGTAAAACAGTGCCGGACAGTGGCAAACACTACTTTGCCGTTTACTATATTAAGGCGACCGATGAGAAAAAGGTGAAGAGAATTCAGTTATTTTTTTATCCAACTAGCGTTAAAGAATTCAAAATGGCCTTTTGAATGAGAACAACTAGCAATCTATGTGCTGTATTTTTCATCGAAAGCATTTTTGGCTTTCTTCACTTTTCATGAGGCTGTTCTCTTAAGGCTCCTCGAGCAACATGGGCAGACCATAAGGGCGAACCAGAAGGAACAAAACGTCTCTACATCGACTTTAAAAAGGTTCTACGTTGGAAATTCGGTTGTTTTATGGATAACAGTAATATATTTATTGTCAGGAAGGTGAAGAAGAAAAGAAAGATGAGAAGAAGGATGAAAAGAAAGATGATGAAAAGAAGGATGAGAAAAAAGAAGAGAAAAAAGAAGAGAAGAAAGAAGAGAAGAAAGAAGAGAAGAAAGAAGAGAAGAAAGAAGAGAAGAAAGAAGAGAAGAAAGAAGAGAAGAAGGAAGAAAAGAAGGAGGAAAAGAAAGAAGAAAAGAAAGACGAAGAAAAAAAAGAAGAGAAGAAAGATGAAGAAAAGAAAGATGAAGAGAAAAAGGAGGAAAAGAAGGACGAAGAAAAAAAAGAGGTGAGTTGTTTGTTTGTTTGTTCGTAAACGACCAATTTACTGAATTACTCATGATTAATAATATTTTCAGGAAGAGAAGAAGTAGTGGAGACGTCACCGACGAAGTTTAGCGTATGATGGCCATCATTAAAAATTATATAAATGATGTGCACGAGTAAATTGTTTACGGTGATGAAATTGAAGGAAATGCTGTTAACGAAATGTCCATTCTGAAACTCCACTCAATGATACTGAGTTTTTGGTTGAGGTAACTAAGTGATTTCGCGCGAGCGTAAATCCGGGGACTCCAACAAGGACATCGAAGTTAACTGGAAAAATGGCAAAATGGAAATAAAGTGTTTTAGTCAGTTCCGCACCGATCTTCTGTTATTTAACAAAGCATTGAAGTCATTTAGGCGGTTGGAGTCAATGATCTCTAATATTCCCATTTGTGTTCTCTGTAAGCAATTTTTTGTTCAAGTATACAAAATAGTCAATTGTCACCAACTATTCTTAGGTGCGTACATGACCCTTCTTCACATGTTGTATGGGTGCTAGCACTTCTTCCATTCGTGTCTCTGCCTTCAAATCGTAGTCAACAAGGGTGGCAGAGCCCGTTTATGACCTCGGCAGCAAATCAAGGTTGTGTTATCTTCTCTTATCGGCATGTCGAGTGTTGGCACAGCGCGATAGCCTCTGGGAACACGAGATAGCCGAGTTGGGATGTCCTCGAGTTGTTAACATTGAGAGCTGTTGGACTCCATGGATAGAAAGCAAAAGTGTTGGTTTGCGTGTTGTATTCTAACAGTGGTTTTTGTGACGGCGACGAATCCGGCAACCAGTCGACCTCGTTTGAGGGCGATATAACGGCTGAATCTTCATTAATAACGGAAAGTTGCAATTGAGAAATGCAAAAAATGGGAAGAAAAATGTTTCCGAATAAACCATCTGGCACTTCAGCAAGCTAATTAAACTACACTAACTACCAACACTAATTAATAAACAATGTGCAAACTATGAACGATCTTCGATCTTTACTCTATTCCATCAATGCCTAGGTACTAAAATTCGATAAAGAAGGCAGAACGCCTGAACCTAAGTAAGGAATTAAAAATTCTGAGCAAGGATGACCGATTAAGATTCAATGCATTCCACATTAACCATCCCAGGCTTTGCGTCTACAACGTCAAATCTTTCATAAATATTGAAACTGAGGCCACTCATCCATCAGATAAGCTATGGAACAGATTTGATCTCTCGCAAAAGAATATCCAAAACGAATCACTTTGTTTCCAATGAAGTGCCATCTAACGGTATTTCGCCCTATTTCATGAGTGGAAAGAATAGCGACACCATGAATCGCAATTATTCAGCGTCAATAGCTGAGTGGTGATTTATGAGTACTACGAATATTTGCAAAATTATGTCCGTAATGAAAAGTGTCTGCAGACGGAAATTCTTCACAGGAATATTAATGAAGGCAGAGCACGAATAGTTGTTGCTACAAAATTGGATAACGAAATGAAAGCGAAAGTGGAAACGGTCGGAGTGCGTTTGCAGAAATTATGCATTGAAGAACTATGAGTGCTGCGGACGAGCATGAAAATCTCGTAATGGCCTGAAAGATAAGAAGATTACCACACTCTCCCGAATAATAAGAAACTGATTGACTTTGATCATTCTTCTACAGTTCGTATGATCATTGCTTTCTACAAACAGGGATTCACTTCAGCCACGACCGCGAAAAAAATGTTCCATCATCAAAAAAAGTAGCATTCGCATTACATAGCCCTTCTCCAAGGTAGGTGAGGCCCGGCAAAATTGAACGAGTGTTTGCTGGAGAATCAGTATTCGTAACCCTTTTGTAACGAAATGCATTGAGAAGGCCTATGTAATGCGAATGCTACTTTTCAATGTTTTTCATCAATAAGCAGACACGAGGTTGTTAATATAGAATTTATTAGAACACAATTGCTGACGTTTCGGCGGTTTCGCCTTCTTCAGAGCCTGGAAAGGTCAAATTGAGATGCGATCTACTCAGCCAAACACTTTCATAACCCTAGCAGATAAAACTTGATAAATCGATTTGTGTTCGCATAAGAAACAGCTTCATTCAAACACCTACCGTTTATTTGTCGTAAGTATTTAAGTTAGTTGGTGGATAGCCGCCGCACAGAGTAATACATGGTCGATAACTGGGTCCATGTCAGATCATTGGATCAGCCTGAGGTATGGCGCTAGGTCACGCGTGATGACAAGACACTCCTCCTTGCGGTTCATTTTTGAATTTTTGGCATTCTTAAAAAAACTCTTAAAAACTCTTGAAGCGTTTTGGATCAATGCCAAAAATTCAAAAATGAACCGCAAGGAGGAGTGTCTTGTCATCACGCGTGACCTAGCGCCATACCTCAGGCTGATCCAATGATCTGACATGGACCCAGTTATCGACCATGTATTACTCTGTGCGGCGGCTATCCACCAACTAACTTAAATACTTACGACAAATAAACGGTAGGTGTTTGAATGAAGCTGTTTCTTATGCGAACACAAATCGATTTATCAAGTTTTATCTGCTAGGGTTATGAAAGTGTTTGGCTGAGTAGATCGCATCTCAATTTGACCTTTCCAGGCTCTGAAAAAGGCGAAACCACCGAAACGTCAGCAATTGTGTTCTAATAAATTCTATATTAACAACCTCGTGTCTGCTTATTGATGAAAAACATTGAATTATCAATTAATGCCGAGGTTAACAGAAAGTCGGTCATGGGAATGCTACTTTTCTTTTGTTTTTTTAAATGTCAATTCAAATGTGTGTTATTGCATGGAAGTAAACGTTTGCTGTTTAACAACCTCGCGATTGCTAAGAGAGAAAACGACGAATTCATAATCCAATGCTGAGGTTAATAGAATGTCGACCCTGGGAACTTTACAAGATGTACCAGCAAAATACTTGTGAAGGAAGCGCTATCACAAAGACAAAAGATCGTCTTAAGTAGACAACAGATCCACTTTCTCAGCTGCTGCATTCAACACCGAGTCGTGCCGAAGTTCATAAAACGGAAACGGCTTCACGAGATATGCGGTCAACCAGAGGACAGCCAAGAAGTACGAGGCATCGACATGGAACTACTCAACGCCGCACTACAGAGCAAACGGAACGAAATGTTCTCAAGAAAGATGAAATATTTGACGAGGGAACATTTTTGTGCTTTGTATTTGGAGGACCAACTTTAGAGGAGAATAGTTGGTGGGTCAATATTGATATGCAATTCTATTAGGTCTAGTGCCAAAATAGCCTTGCACCGAAAGTTTGAGAATCTGTTGAATAATTCACGTATCTCGGCTTCAAAAAACCGTAATCAAACGTTCGACGCTAGGAGTCAAAATACGGCTGATAATACACCATGCAATAACTGGGAGTGCGCGCTCGGTAATAGAATTGGGCCTAAGCTTTTCACCATCACAGTCCATTTCTAAAACAACCGTAGGATAGCATGCAGCCTCTATGAGATTCAAGATCGACTCCGCTATCAGGCTGAACAAGGGACAACAAATAGAGATGAAAATAAAGGCGCGGTAACGCTACCACCATCTCCTTTTCCCAAAACGTTTTTTAGACAGCAGGACCCTAACGATGGAGTTGACATAAAATTCCGCGTGTTTTCGGATGGCGTTCTCAAGACCCTTGTCACTACCGCGATAGAAGGTTTATGTCTAACCCCACAGCCGCACAAAAATGTGGGTTGCGAGAAATTAGAGAATTAATGAACTCGAAAGCAACAAGATTGTCTGTTAGTGATAAGAGGGAGAGTTCGTAGTTACGCCTCGCCAGCTAGATGTTAAGATAACTGAGGAGCATCTAAGTGATGTTACCCTTTATCGCCCATCATCTGAAAGGGAATACAAAAGTCAATACCGAAAACTAAACAATCAGTGGGTCAAAACGGCTAAGGCGGCAGGAGTAAAACCATCGGTTACCTCGCACTTTAAAATCAATAGGCCAATATGCCCCGTCTTATACTCCCTTATTAAAACACATGAGTTGGTACCACTTGATGATATTGCGTCAATCAATCCGTCATCGTTTAAGGCTAGCCCCGCCATTAGCCGTGTAGATGGGCCAACGGATAGGATAACCTGATTTCTAAGCCTAATACTAACTCAATTGCTTAAACATATTCCAGCTCACCTCACGAACACCCAAATGTTCCTAGAACGTCTGCGTAACGCGTCTCCTAATAACGCGTACGTGATGGAGTCCTTCGACGTTACCGCGC